TTTTTTTTTGGCTTTGCGCGATGGGAAGGGTTGGCACTCTACCCATCGTTATATGAAGCCGGAGGTTCCCACCTAATCCCCGAAGCCCTGACTCACACCATGATGGTGTCGTCATTAGATCCTATTATCTTCCATTCCCTGTTCTATTCTATTCTGTTGAATCGCTTTTGGTTATGACATTGTACCCGTATTGCATTAGATCATATCCTGTCATATCATATGGATTACTGTTGAGTTATACTTCGTCACATGATGGAGTTATGGCTTGTTTTGCAGTTCTTAAGGAACCGGGGGTTCCAAGGCCTGACGCTCCTAAGCCCGGCGGGCTGGAAGCATTAAGGGTTTAGGGTTTAGGGGTTCTCTGTTCTTTCGGACAGGCTTTGGGAGTTTTCTGTTGTTTGTTCAGAGTTTAGAGCTCTTGGTTTTGGTTTGCAGACCCCATGGAGAAAGCGGCTAAGTCCTTTTGCTCTGGTTTGTGTTTGCTATGGGTTCGAGCCCCATAACCTCGAACCGGAACACCCGGTGCTCCTACCATCCAGGTGCTCTCTGAACTTCGAAGCGTTTGCTCCTCAAAGTCCTTGCCTCTCTATGAGGCACAGTGGGTCGGAACGGTAAAGCACCAACCTTAACCGCCCTAAACCCTAAACCCTAAACCCTAAACCCTAAACCCTAAACCCTAGGGCTAGACCGGTGGAAAGTGTATGTATCGGTGCTGCTGCGGCTCCGTCGGGGCCAAACCCTAGAGGGTTTGGGGCCGAGGGCTTGTCAAATGGAGGCTACAGCTTCTAGACTCGGTTTAGGGTTTAGGGTTTAGGGTTTAGGGTTTAGGGTTGATTCTAGACTCTCCTGGTGTCTAGCTAGACGCACTGACTTAACTCGCTCAGTGCAACCGGTTGTTGGGTTCAGCTGTACGTGTTCCTGACATACCTCCAGGCCCTCGTGCATGGAATAGGGCCTTAGGAGATGCGCGACAACCTAAACTCTAGAACCTCCATCAGTCAGGCTGACCGCTTCAAGGGGACCCTGCTTAACCTCACTTATGGCTCTCTTAAAAGGGACCTTATTGAGAGGGTCTATATTCCCAAGGGTCCCCCCTAATCCTAACTCCTACTAGAAGGATTTAGTAATAACAGCGCCTTTACGAGGGTCCTGTAAGAGCTTGGGCGTGTTTTGGGGCCTGGCAGGTTTTCTAGGATACAGGGCTTAGGTTTGACGTTTCGAAGGCCTGGGAGAGAGAGAGCAGCAGACAGAGGTGCAGAGATCGCTTTACTTTATGGGGTCTGGTACCTCGAGCTGAAAACCATGAGCTCTGGGCAACCCAACCTTGGGTTGAGTTTAGAGGTCGGATGATGAGGAATATCATGGTCGAAATCTATACATCCGACTCAATTTGGCTTTCCAGTTTGCTTTTCGCCTTTAGCGGTTTCTCTGAAATAGTGTGACATACAGCTTGTCTTTCGGATCGGTATCGTAAGAGAGGCGTACCGTTTGGGGACATATCAAGGGATCTTACCGTAGAGAGACTACCCGGGCGTGGAGCATTTGCACTTTGATATGGATGTTTGCTTGTAGTCTTCTCGCGTGGGTCTGCTTCGGGTGGGAAGAAGTTCGAGTTGGGGGCTTTCAAGGACATAATATTGGGCCTTAATAATTAGGGTTTAGGGTGTAGGGTTTAGGCTTTAATCATTCGATTAGGGTTTGGGGGGCATGTTGTATTATGATTATAAAATAAGGAACCCCCCCCAAAACCCTATTCTAATTATTATACCCTGCGTTAGCTCATGGTGTTGAGGGCTCTTCGCATTAGCTGCGTTTCAATGGGTCGTGCGCCTTGAGCTAGGCTATAAGTTATAACGTGCAACGGATGCAATGAAAGTGTGTGTGTGTGTGTATACATATGTATATATATATATAAACAAAGCGGCACAATGGCTTTGTTCCATGTGTACTCTATACAGTGATACACAGTGTGTGAACGCACTCAGCTCCCAAAACACAGCAGACTTTTTTGCTCGCCTGGCTCCCGAGAATTCATTTTCCGACCCCCCCAATACAGTAAGCCGCCGAGGTTTCTGTTTTTTGTAGGGTTTAGGGGTTTTTAGGCTTTAGGGTGCCCATTGCAGCCCCTCCTAAAGAAAGGGTTTAGGTTCCCTAAACTTTAGGGGGGGTAAGCCCCGAGCCTGTAAGCCTGAATCCCTCAAAAGCTCCGTCGCCACCCGTCGGCTGACTGTGCCCAGAGACCAGAGACCATTGTTATACTTTGCAGCGCTGTATGCTTTGGGCGCACCCTCCAAGAACCCCATGAAAGTAGAAGGTTGGCCTTTGTAGAGTGGTCCCGAATTCCTGCATCATACGAGCCCAGGAATCTGAAAAGTTGGAAATCTGGGCATTGGAAAACAAAATCTCTAGGGTAATACCCGATTAAACACCCGTGCCCAAGAAAGTAACTGAACCCTGATAAACGCCGCTACTAAGACAACAAGTACAAAAGAACCCTCAAATAAATCCCTCAACACTTTAACCAAAGAACTAAACTTAGGCCCTAAACCTTAAACCCCAATTATCTTCAGCTGACAAATAGGAGTTTCCGAAAATTAGGGGGTACCTTATTCTGGGGCCCTTATAGTAAGGATCCTACTATTTGGGGTGCTATATTAGAGTCCCCTATTTTGTTGGAAACCCCAAATGAGCCCTAAACCCTAAACCGTGACAAATGAGCAGGTGGGTGACCGACCGGAAAACCTGGTGGGGCCGCCTGCGCTTGGGTATCTGGCCGGGGGGCCCAGTGCCTCTTCAGTTTAGGGTTTTAGGGTTTTAG